GCATTGTGGGTGTTGTAGGCCACAGTGTTATGGATGAATGTGGTGCATTGTGGGTGTTGTAGGCCACAGTGTTATGGATAAATGTGGTGCATTGTGGGTGTTGTAGGCCTCAGTGTTATGGATGAATGTGGTGCATTGTGGGTGTTGTAGGCCACAGTGTTATGGATAAATGTGGTGCATTGTGGGTGTTGTAGGCCACAGTGTTATGGATGAATGTGGTGCATTGTGGGTGTTTTAGGCCTCAGTGTTATGGATTAATGTGGTGCATTGTGGGTGTTGTAGGCCACAGTGTTATGGATGAATGTGGTGCATTGTGGGTGTTGTAGGCCTCAGTGTTATGGATGAATGTGGTGCATTGTGGGTGTTGTAGGCCACAGTGTTATGGATGAATGTGGTGCATTGTGGGTGTTGTAGGCCACAGTGTTATGGATGAATGTGGTGCATTGTGGGTGTTTTAGGCCTCAGTGTTATGGATAAATGTGGTGCATTGTGGGTGTTGTAGGCCACAGTGTTATGGATGAATGTGGTGCATTGTGGGTGTTGTAGGCCACAGTGTTATGGATGAATGTGGTGCATTGTGGGTGTTTTAGGCCTCAGTGTTATGGATGAATGTGGTGCATTGTGGGTGTTTTAGGCCTCAGTGTTATGGATAAATGTGGTGCATTGTGGGTGTTGTAGGCCACAGTGTTATGGATGAATGTGGTGCATTGTGGGCGTTGTAGGCCACAGTGTTATGGATGAATGTGGTGCATTGTGGGTGTTGTAGGCCACAGTGTTATGGATGAATGTGGTGCATTGTGGGTGTTGTAGGCCACAGTGTTATGGATGAATGTGGTGCATTGTGGGTGTTTTAGGCCTCAGTGTTATGGATAAATGTGGTGCATTGTGGGTGTTGTAGGCCACAGTGTTATGGATGAATGTGGTGCATTGTGGGTGTTGTAGGCCACAGTGTTATGGATAAATGTGGTGCATTGTGGGTGTTGTAGGCCTCAGTGTTATGGATGAATGTGGTGCATTGTGGGTGTTGTAGGCCACAGTGTTATGGATAAATGTGGTGCATTGTGGGTGTTGTAGGCCACAGTGTTATGGATGAATGTGGTGCATTGTGGGTGTTGTAGGCCTCAGTGTTATGGATGAATGTGGTGCATTGTGGGTGTTGTAGGCCTCAGTGTTATGGATGAATGTGGTGCATTGTGGGTGTTGTAGGCCACAGTGTTATGGATGAATGTGGTGCATTGTGGGTGTTGTAGGCCTCAGTGTTATGGATGAATGTGGTGCATTGTGGGTGTTGTACGCCTCAGTGTTATGGATGAATGTGGTGCATTGTGGGTGTTGTAGGCCTCAGTGTTATGGATGAATGTGGTGCATTGTGGGTGTTGTAGGCCTCGTGTGTTATGGATGAATGTGGTGCATTGTGGGTGTTGTAGGCCTCAGTGTTATGGATAAATGTGGTGCATTGTGGGTGTTGTAGGCCTCGTGTGTTATGGATGAATGTGGTGCATTGTGGGTGTTGTAGGCCACAGTGTTATGGATAAATGTGGTGCATTGTGGGTGTTGTAGGCCACAGTGTTATGGATGAATGTGGTGCATTGTGGGTGTTGTAGGCCTCAGTGTTATGGATGAATGTGGTGCATTGTGGGTGTTGTAGGCCTCTGTGTTATGGATGAATGTGGTGCATTGTGGGTGTTGTAGGCCTCAGTGTTATGGATAAATGTGGTGCATTGTGGGTGTTGTAGGCCACAGTGTTATGGATGAATGTGGTGCATTGTGGGTGTTGTAGGCCACAGTGTTATGGATGAATGTGGTGCATTGTGGGTGTTGTAGGCCACAGTGTTTTGGATGAATGTGGTGCATTGTGGGTGTTGTAGGCCTCAGTGTTATGGATGAATGTGGTGCATTGTGGGTGTTGTAGGCCACAGTGTTATGGATGAATGTGGTGCATTGTGGGTGTTGTAGGCCTCAGTGTTATGGATGAATGTTGTGCATTGTGGGTGTTGTAGGCCTCTGTGTTATGGATAAATGTGGTGCATTGTGGGTGTTGTAGGCCACAGTGTTATGGATGAATGTAGTGCATTGTGGGTGTTGTAGGCCACAGTGTTATGGATGAATGTAGTGCATTGTGGGTGTTGTAGGCCTCTGTGTTATGGATGAATGTGGTGCATTGTGGGTGTTGTAGGCCACAGTGTTATGGATGAATGTGGTGCATTGTGGGTGTTGTAGGCCTCGGTGTTATGGATGAATGTGGTGCATTGTGGGTGTTGTAGGCCTCAGTGTTATGGATGAATGTGGTGCATTGTGGGTGTTGTAGGCCACAGTGTTATGGATGAATGTGGTGCATTGTGGGTGTTGTAGGCCACAGTGTTATGGATGAATGTGGTGCATTGTGGGTGTTGTAGGCCTCAGTGTTATGGATGAATGTGGTGCATTGTGGGTGTTGTAGGCCTCAGTGTTATGGATGAATGTGGTGCATTGTGGGTGTTGTAGGCCACAGTGTTATGGATGAATGTGGTGCATTGTGGGTGTTGTAGGCCTCAGTGTTATGGATGAATGTTGTGCATTGTGGGTGTTGTAGGCCTCTGTGTTATGGATAAATGTGGTGCATTGTGGGTGTTGTAGGCCACAGTGTTATGGATGAATGTAGTGCATTGTGGGTGTTGTAGGCCACAGTGTTATGGATGAATGTAGTGCATTGTGGGTGTTGTAGGCCTCTGTGTTATGGATGAATGTGGTGCATTGTGGGTGTTGTAGGCCACAGTGTTATGGATGAATGTGGTGCATTGTGGGTGTTGTAGGCCTCGGTGTTATGGATGAATGTGGTGCATTGTGGGTGTTGTAGGCCTCAGTGTTATGGATGAATGTGGTGCATTGTGGGTGTTGTAGGCCACAGTGTTATGGATGAATGTGGTGCATTGTGGGTGTTGTAGGCCACAGTGTTATGGATGAATGTGGTGCATTGTGGGTGTTGTAGGCCTCAGTGTTATGGATGAATGTGGTGCATTGTGGGTGTTGTAGGCCACAGTGTTATGGATGAATGTGGTGCATTGTGGGTGTTGTAGGCCACAGTGTTATGGATGAATGTGGTGCATTGTGGGTGTTGTAGGCCACAGTGTTATGGATGAATGTGGTGCATTGTGGGTGTTGTAGGCCACAGTGTTATGGATGAATGTGGTGCATTGTGGGTGTTGTAGGCCTCAGTGTTATGGATGAATGTGGTGCGCTTTTGACGTTTTGTATATGGGCAGGGATCACGTTGCTGTGCCTTTTGTAAAACGCACTCTTCCGCAGATGACACCGCACGCAGTGTGTGCGTGTGTACGTGAAGCCGCACATACAGGCGGCACGCACAGCGTTATGAAGCAGCGCACTGCCAGCAACGCAAATCGCGATTCCCTGTTGCGGGCAGCGGTAATGTTCAACTTGGAAGCGTTTGACAGGCACAGCTTGCGAATCTCCGCTCCGTCGCTGTTGCCGCTGCTGCTGCTGCTGCTTGGCTGCCACAACTTTCCACGTGATCAGCTACTTCGTTGAGCTATCATTTGTGGCCAGGTCGCTTCCGAAAAAATAAGTTAATAGCTCGGTGGGTTTTAGCTGGTAAAATAAATATAAATATATTTTTAGTGATTTTCTTATCCCTCCCTATACTCCGGTTCTATTTTTTCTCTTGTTCGTTATAAACTTCTGACTTCGTGCCCCCCGAATGGACATCCGTGAAAAAGAGCTTCATAGATCATCGGATTCCTCCTCCAGTGTAAATAGAGATTCTGATTTTGAGCTTTGTACGTACCGACTAGAAACGGCACAGTGGGGGGGGGGGGGGGGGCGCTGTTGGGGGTGGGCGCAGGCTGGCGTCTGTCCTCGCACCATTGTGGAGCGACGCTTCCTCTGCAGGAAGTGGGGGGCGATCACAACAGGAAAGCGCCCGGACATTGATTATCACCCATTGAAAACGTACAACGTAAATATGATATGTATTTGTTTAAAAAAATCTGACGAATGTAAGTTTGGTTGTGTGTAGTTGGGGCACGCCTGTAATTCGGCGCTTTGGATGTGGGAGGCCTGGTGTTGAGGGACCGTCCAGCACCGCTGGGTGGTGAGGCGGCGGTCGAGAGATGTCGCTACGGCAAGTCGGCGTGTGGTCGCTCGACACAAACGAGCCGTGGTCTCCATGAAGGAGGATGGGCTTTCTGTAACGGGTTCACGTGGCCGTGTCGAGGGTGCTGCGCCATGTGGCAGTGATGTCTCCTCGAAGGTTTAGAGTTTACACCATGAGACATTTCCTTTACCAGTGGCAAAATACAGTAGTAGGTTTTTACCCTTTCAACTGGTACAGAAACTGACACCTTTATACAAGGCATCATGTTTGCAATAACCACAACATAAGCAGTCAAAATGCAAACAATAAAGGTGTCAGTTTTTGTACCAGTTGAAAGGGTAAAAACCTATTACTATAGGTTTAGAGTTTGTGCGCGTGGGTCTGTATTTGCGTGTCTGCTTATGCATTGCACACTTTGGTGTTTGTGTCTGTGTGTGTTAATGCTGTGGGGAGTCGTAGCGGTAAGCACACTGCACTACGAACCCGGCGACCCGAGTTCGATTCCCGCTCGCAGCAAACACCAGTGACGATTATCTGATTCGGTCCTGGGCCTCCCGTAGGTTGACTCGGCCTCAAATGAGTACCTGGTGTGGTGTTTAAAAGGTGGCCGGGCATAGTGTTGACTACCCATCCTCTTCTGTGCTGTGCCGGTCTTCATAGGTGCTCGCTAACAGCACTTGCCACAACAGTCTGTTTAGGCTAAACGGGAAGGGGGGATCTTTGTCTTTGTTTTGATGATGGCAACGTTGGCGGTGCGCCATTGATGGTGGTGATGGTGTTGTGGATGATGACGGTGGTGATGTAGTTGATGGTGGTGATGGTGTTGTGGATGATGACGGTGGTGATGTAGTTGACGGTGGTAATGTAGTTGGGGATGATGACGGTGGTGGTCGTGGTCGTTGAACAGAGCTGCCGGAGGATGCTGCGGGCCGGGAGCTGGGCGACGCGCAGGGGAAAGCGCGGCGCTACTTCCGCGCGTGCATGGACGAGCAAAGCATCGAGCAGCGGGGAGCCGCGCCACTGCAGCAGCTGCTGACACAGGTGACACGCGGGGCAGGGGCATGGGGGCCAGGGGCAGGGGCACGGGGGGCAGGGGCACGGGGGGCAGGGGCACGGGGGGCAGGGGCACGGGGGGCAGGGGCACGCGGGGCAGGGGCACGGAGGCAGGGGCACGTGGGGCAGGGACACGCACATCCACAGTGGTGACCGGTGGCGCTGCGTTTAGTGCATGGTGCTACGATCCCGCCAACCGAAGTTCGATTCTCGCTCAGCCAGTATCAGCGATTAAAAATTTGATCTGGTCCTGGGCCCTCCTCTAGGTCGACTCGGCCTCAAATTAGTACCTGGTGCGATGCGTGGACATTGCAACCGGGGAGACGAAGGCGGCTGGGTGTGGTACCAGGACGGCACATGAGGGGGTGTGTGGCCGGCCCTTGCCCCTGTTCAGGCTACACGGGGGGCGGGTTCCTTATCTCTGTGTTTGCAGCTGGGAGGCTGGAGCATGCTGGGCACGTGGAACGAGACGGGCCACTCGCTGCAGGAGCTGCTGGAGGTCGTCATGGGCTCCTACCGCGCCTCTCCCTTCTTCGCCATCTACGTGGGGCAGGACGCCAAGCACTCCAACAGCAACATCGTGCAGGTGGGCGCCGCCTCGCCCACCCTGCCACAAGCGGCGAGGGGGGGGGGGGGGCGATGCGGCCGGTGGGGCACCCTGGCGGCAACGCCCCCGCCGCCGCTGGCCGTGGAGGTTCGCGGTTCGGGTCCGACAGGCCGCTCTGGTCACGGAGGATGGTGAACATCCCCAGATTGTCATTTCAAAGCCGGCGACACGTTCCATATTGGCCAAGTTCAGCATTGCCCCTGACTGAGGAACTTCTGCAGTCTGCGTCTCCGCAACGAGTCATCTTCCTGATAGCCGTGCACTGTCAACAGTGGCACGGATACCAAACCGACTGTGTGATGAATGTTGCTGAGGAGTCGTCGATTGCAGCAAACCGAGAAATGCTTAACACTGCCCAGTAAACGCGCAACGTTAGAGCAACGTTGGAGCAACGTAGCATGTTTCGCGAGGCATTTCTGTGACTTTATCGCGAGCGACTCCGAACGATTGCGCGTTGTTTTCTCGCCTCTGTATCTCAACAGATTGACCAATCGGGTCTCGGATTGCCGTCACGTGACTATTACATCAACCTGACGGCCAATGAGAAGGTAGGAGTTTGTCCTTCATCCGACGTTCCCTCTTGAAAGCAAAAACACGCGTGCAATAAAACAGCCAAGAGGCAGATGGAATATGTCAAAACAACTTTTCTTCTTTACGCGGCGAGAGACAGATTTGTGAAGGAGGTGTGTGTGTGCTGTCTGCTCAAGTCTCAACCTTTCTACTCGCTCATCCTCTTGTCTCCTTCATCACTCCGTATCCACCCACTCCCCTCTCGGTGTCGGTGCTCTGCAGGGTTCACTTCAGAGCCCCTCACTTCTCTCTCTCGATATTTTGTCTCTTGAATCCATTCCCCCCCCTCCTCGTTCGACTTTCCTCATCGGTGCCCTGCAGACGACACCCGAGTCGTGTGTTCCTCCTTTCCCTCGCTAATCCCCCGTGACCTCTCCTCTCGTATCTGCTCCTGCCTGGCTGCCGTACAATCCTGGATGGCGTTTCACTTTCTCTCTCAATCGGTGCTGGTGGCTGTAGGTTCTCTGTACCACGTGGTGCTGGTGGCTGTAGGTTCTCTGTACCACGTGGTGCTGGTGGCTGTAGGTTCCCTGTACCACGTCGTGCTGGTGGCTGTAAGTTCTCTGTACCACGTGGTGCTGGTGGCTGTAGGTTCCCTGTACCACGTGGTGCTGGTGGCTGTAAGTTCTCTGTACCACGTGGTGCTGGTGGCTGTAGGTTCCCTGTGTCACGTGGTGCTGGTGGCTGTAGGTTCCCTGTACCACGTGGTGCTGGTGGCTGTAGGTTCTCTGTACCACGTGGTGCTGGTAGCTGTAGGTTCTCTGTACCACGTGGTGCTGGTGGCTGTAGGTTCTCTGTACCACGTGGTGCTGGTGGCTGTAGGTTCCCTGTGTCACGTGGTGTTGGTAGCTGTAGGTTCCCTGTACCACGTGGTGCTGGTGGCTGTAGGTTCCCTGTACCACGTGGTGCTGGTAGCTGTAGGTTCTCTGTACCACGTGGTGCTGGTGGCTGTAGGTTCCCTGTGTCACGTGGTGCTGGTAGCTGTAGGTTCTCTGTACCACGTGGTGCTGGTGGCTGTAGGTTCCCTGTGTCACGTGGTGCTGGTAGCTGTAGGTTCTCTGTACCACGTGGTGCTGGTGGCTGTAGGTTCCCTGTACCACGTGGTGCTGGTAGCTGTAGGTTCTCTATACCACGTGGTGCTAGTGGCTGTAGGTTCCCTGTACCACGTGGTGCTGGTGGCTGTAGGTTCCCTGTACCACGTGGTGCTGGTGGCTGTAGGTTCCCTGTACCACGTGGTGCTGGTGGCTGTAGGTTATCTGTACCACGTGGTGCTGGTGGCTGTAGGTTCTCTGTACCACGTGGTGCTGATGGCTGTAGGTTCTCTGTACCACGTGGTGCTGGTGGCTGTAGGTTCTCTGTACCACGTGGTGCTGGTAGCTGTAAGTTCTCTGTACCACGTGGTGCTGGTGGCTGTAGGTTCCCTGTACCACGTGGTGCTGGTGGCTGTAGGTTCTCTGTACAACGTGGTGCTGGTGGCTGTAGGTTCTCTGTACCACGTGGTGCTGGTGGCTGTAGGTTCTCTGTACCACGTGGTGCTGGTGGCTGTAGGTTCCCTGTACCACGTGGTGCTGGTGGCTGTAGGTTCCCTGTACCACGTGGTGCTGGTGGCTGTAGGTTCTCTGTACCACGTGGTGCTGGTGGCTGTAGGTTCTCTGTACCACGTGGTGCTGGTGGCTGTAGGTTCCCTGTACCACGTGGTGCTGGTGGCTGTAGGTTCCCTGTACCACGTGGTGCTGGTTGCTATAGGTTCTCTGTACCACGTGGTGCTGGTGGCTGTAGGTTCTCTGTGTCACGTGGTGGCTGTAGGTGTTGGCGGCCTACGAGGGCTACATGGTGCGCGTGGCCGTGCTGCTGGGGGCGGAGGAGGCGGCGGCCAGCGCCGCGGCGCGCTCCGTGCTGCGCCTGGAGGAGGAGCTGGCGCTCATCACGGTGCCCATGGAGGAGCGGCGCGACGACGAGAAGATCTACCACCGCATGGCGCTCACCGAGCTCCAGGTGGGACGGCGGCACGACCCCCCCCCCACCCCTTCCATCCCCCCGCTCCCCGCTCCCCGCGCCGCCAATTCGTCCCCCCGCGGGATTTCCTGCGTGCGGCGCGTTGCGGTGCGCGACGCGTGACGAAGTGGTGGCGTTATGCGATGTGACGCGTGGTGCGGCGTGTTGCCGTGTGCGGGGAGTCGTGGGGTAGCGGTTAGTGCACCGCGCTACGAACCCGGCAATCCCTGAGTTCGATTCCCGGTCATGGCCAGCACCAGTGACGATTTTCTGAACCGGTCCTGGGCCTCCCCTAGGTCGACTCAACCTCAAATGAGTACCTGGTGTAGTGTGTAAACATCGCCACTGGAGAGACAAAGGCGGCCGGGCGTGGTTCTGGCCACCCATCCCCCTGTGGGCCGTGCCGGCAATTAATAGGTGCTCGCTAACAGCACTTGCTCCTACATTCTGTCAAGGCTATACACGGGGATCTTTGTTCTGTTGTGGCGTGCGTAACATGTCATGTGTGTGGCGTGCGTAACATGTCGTGTGTGTGTGGCATATAACGTGGAGTGTATGCTGTCTTCCCAGCAACAGTTATGCCCTCCCTTAACGGGGCTTGCGAAACCTGGACCCCGCTGAAGGAACATCTGGGCTGATTAGAACACATTCAGGCTGGCCTGGCTATGATCCGTCCCGGAGTTTTACCAGACTGGATGGTGTGAGGTCACAGATCCTGGACAGATCTGGGTACAGGCCCATCGGTGGGCTCTTCTGGCAGTCGAGGCTGCGTTGGCTGGGTCATGTCGGCCGCATGCCCAGCCACTAAAACACAGCAGGTTGGCACAGTAGAGGGGGCACAAGTGGTGCATCTGCCGGTCATCGCATTCACCCGAGTCTGTCCCGTGACCTGCCAGTGAGCCTTACACCTTTCACTTGGCTTCGAGGTGCACCTAGCCTGGCACGTTATTGTACGTCTTGTTGTAGGTGACGTGTTGTGTGCGACGGTTGAATTGTACATAATGTAACGAACTACGTCTAACGTGTTGTGTGCGATGCGCGTGGTCTATGCAGTGTGTGCATTGTATGTAATCTGTTGTGTGTAATGCAGCGTGCAACACGTTGTTGTGTAACGTGTTACGAGCAACATGTTGCATGCAACGCGTTGTTGCGCCATGCACTCCGTGCAACACGCCTACGTGTGACGTGTTGCGTGTGACGTGTTGCGCATGACGCGTAACGCATCGCACGCGTACTGCGCTGCGTGCAAGTCGCATCACGTGATGCGCTGTGTGCAAGTCGCATCACGTGACGCGCCGTGTGCAAGTCGCATCACGTGACGTGCAAGTCGCGTCACGTGACGCGCCGTGTGCAAGTCGCATCACGTGACGTGCCGTGTGCAAGTCGCCTCGCGTGACGTGCCGTGTGCAAGTCGCATCGCGTGACGTGCCGTGTGCAAGTCGCATCGCGTGACGTGCCGTGTGCAAGTCGCATCGCGTGACGTGCCGTGTGCAAGTCCCATCACGTGACGCGCCGTGTGCAAGTCGCATCACGTGACGTGCCGTGTGCAAGTCGCATCACGTGACGCGCCGTGTGCAAGTCGCATCGCGTGACGTGCCGTGTGCAAGTCGCATCACGTGACGCGCCGTGTGCCAGTCGCATCAGGTGACGCGCCGTGTGTGTGACGCCGCAGGAGCTGGCGCCGACGCTGCGCTGGGACCGCCTCGTTGGCCGCGTGCTGGAGCCCGTGGCCCTGGCGGCGGCGGAGCCCCTCGTCGTGTACGCGCCCACGTACCTGCAGAACGCCGCGGCGCTCATCAACCGCACCGACACCAGGTGACCATGACGACCACGACGACAAAGAGCCGGTCAGTGTGGAGTCTGATTCCAAGTCAAAAGCCAAAGCGCATCGCTGCTCACGCGAGCAACAGCCCGGTGCTCGGCTTCCCGCGATGGCCCGATGGCCAGCGGTGGAAATTCCACATTCCCGTGGTGGGAGCCAGTCTCTCCGATGGTCCGATCGACGTCCTGCAAAGTGGCAGGTGATTGTAAGTGTCGGCCTTCTTAGTGGCAGGGTCCTTGTTCCATGAGTCGGCATGTGGGAACGGTATCCTTGCGGAGGGCCATCATAGGGGACTTTTGTCTCCCCTCGTAGGAATGTTTAAACACCGCACCAGGTACTCATTTGAGGCTGAGTCGACCGAGGAGAGGCCGAGTTCCGGTTCAGATTATCATCACTGGCGTTGGTGGCCGTGAGCGGGAATCGAACTCGGGCTGCTGGGTTCGTCGGGCAGCGCGCGAACCGCCACGCTACCACTCCCCGCTCGCTCACTCGCTCTCTCGCTCGCTCGCTCACCGCACCAGGCCCTGGCAGGAACAGAAGCAGAAGTGACTGAGCGATACAAATCGCGTTGCCAGATAAAATGTGCTTCCCCTCCAGTACCCGATCAGTGCGGCCTAAGATGCCCACGGTGACTGATAGCTATAATTAGGGGGCCGTTCTGCAGTGCGCAGGCTTCGCGTGAGCACGGGCCGTGTGAAGTGGAGTCACTGCTGCCCCTCGCTCCTCACTCCCTCCCCTTCCCCGTGCTGCCCGAGCTCCGCTTGTCTCCACTTGTCCCTGTGTGCATCCGCACGCCTCCGTTTGTCTCCACACGTCTCAATGTGTCTCCACGTCTCGGTGTGCTCAGCGCGCGTCCCAATGTGCCCGCCACGTGTCTTCTCGATGTGTCTCCGCGTGTCTCCGTGCATCACAATGTGTCTCCGCGTGTCTGTGTGTCTTTGTGTGTCTGTGCATCTCAATGTGTCTCCGCGTGTCTTTGTATGTCTCTGAGCATCTCTATGTGTCTCTGTGACGTCTCATCGTGTCTCTGCGTGTCGTCTCCTCGTGTCTCTGCGTCTCAGCGTGCTCAACGCGTACGTGCTGTGGAGCCTCGTGAGCAAGCTCACGCTCAGCCTCGGCCGCTCCTTCCGCCAGGCCAGGGAGGAGCTCCTGGAGGCTCTGCTCGGAGCGAAGGTGACGAGCGCCCCCCCTCCCCCACCCCTTGGGGGGCCGCCTGCAAGTTTATGGGGAGCGGAGGGGGTCCCCGGGGCGACTGGGGCTGTGTGACGCTGCCTGCGCCCGTTGCAGTTTGCGCCGCTGTCGGTTTTCGCTGTTGTGCACTGCGGCCGCTCGTGAGTGAGGCCGCTCGTGAGTGAGGCCACTCGGCTGTGCAGTTCTCAGCTGTGCAGGCGTTTTGTCGACGTCGCTCCAAACAACGCACGGCACGGCCCGAGAAGACACCCTAGAGCGGTTGTCTTGATGCGTTCGTAAATGCAGTTCTGTGTGTTGTGCGTGTCACGTGTCACGTGTCGCGCGTGTCACGTGTGTCACGTGTGCCGTGTCGCGCTTAGCGTGTGTCACGTGTCACGTGTGTTGCGTGTGTCATGTGTCGCCTGCCATGTGTCACGTGTCGCATGTCGCCTGTCGCGTGTCGCGTGTCACGTGTCGCGTGTCGCGTGTGTGGGCGAGCAGGCGTCGTGCACCCCGCGCTGGCAGACGTGCGTGGAGGACACGGACAGCACGCTGGGCTTCGCGCTCGGAGCCATGTTCATCCACAGCAGCTTCGACAACTCCAGCAAGAGCAACGTAACGCAGCCCCCCGCCCCGCCACCCACCACCTCCGTCTCTGGCCCCCTCGTCGTCGGAAACGTTCCACGCTCACGCACTCATTAGCGGAGCGCTCTCGTTAGCGGAGCGCTCGTTAAAGAGTGATCGTCAACACGTCCGAATGACACGAATTGCATGTTGTGTACATTGCTCGTTACGCGTTGTTGGGGTAAAACTCACGAACGGAACTCGTTTCCATGTCTTTGCGAATATGCGAGGGTGCTTCGAAAACATGTTAACAGTTTATATGGGATTATCGGTATTGTTGCAAATTTTTTAAGAAGTCTTAACATTTCTTTGAAGCACCCTGAATATGGGAATATGTTTTAGTCCTTGGGGGGGGCAGCAGCTTGACACGATGCGGGAACTTTCCTCGCCAGCGTGGCTTGTGCTGTCCCCTCAGCAGGATCCTTGTGTCTGTTCCCTCTGTAAGCTCACGACAGCTGCTGCTGCTACCGTACGCCCCACTGGTGTTAGCGGGTTGTACGTGCGTCGAACTTCGTTTGCGCCGTACGTGGCCAACGCTGCTAATTGGAGCCAACTGTGAGATCCGTCCAAACATTCGACCCCCCCCCTCACCGTCCCTACCCCCCTCCCCCTTCTGCCCCTCCCCCCCCTCCCCAGGCCCAACAGATGATCGCGGAGATCCGAGAGGCGTTCACGCACAACCTGGACTCGCTCCAGTGGATGGATCCGGAGACCAGAGTGGCCGCCAAGCAGAAGGTGAGGAGGGTGGGGGGGGGGCCTCTCTCCAGTGCCCACAATGGGCAGGACCACGTTGCGTGTGAGTACGCGTGTCCGTGTGTGTGTTTGTATGTGTGTGTGTATGTGTGTGTGTATGTGGGGGGAGCGGTGGTGCAGCGGTTAGCGCGCCACGCTACGAGCCCGGCGACCCGAGTTCGATTCCCGCTCACGGGCCAATACCGCTGACGATTATCTGAACCGGTCCTGGGCCCTCCCCTAGGTCGACTGGTGTGGTGTGTAGTAAATATCGCCAGAGACAAAGGCGGCCGGGCGTGGTATTGGTCACCCATCCCCTCGAGCGCCGTTCCGGCCTCAATAGGTGCTCGCTAACGGCACTTGCCCCAACAGTCTGTTGAGGCTACACGGGGGGTCTCTGTGTCGTGTCCAGGCGAACGCGATCCACGACATGATCGGCTTCCCCGACTTCCTCAACAACCAGACGGAGCTGGACGGCGTCTACACCGGGGTGAGTGGCGACTCCGCTCCACTCAATTCCACTCCGTTCCGCTCCGCGCCACTCCACGCCGCTCCACTCCGCTCCATTCCACCTTTCCCGTCCCGTGCCCGGTTGACGGGCGGGGCACTTCTTAACTCGGGGGGTGGGGGTAGAGGGTGGTGGGGGGGTAGATGAGGGGGGGGGGGGGTAGAGGAGGGGGGGTAGAGGAGGGGGGAGTTTAACGTACGTACATACAACTGGCCACGGAGTATAATATGTGAAAATCAGTCCTGGGCCTCAACTAGGTAAGCTCATCGTTAAATGAGCAGCTGGTGTAACATCAGCACGGGGGAAACCAAGGCAGGTGTGAGTGTAGAGCTGGCGACACCCTCGTGTGCCGTGCCGGCCTTTACAGCGCTTGCCCCGGCAGTCTGTGTGGCTACACGGGGGGGGGCCTTTGTCTCTGCTGTGCCGCGTGTAGTACAAAGTGAGCGAAGACGACTACTTCGCAAACGTCCTCAGCTTCTTCAACTTCTCGGCACGAACGATGGCCAAGCAACTGCGGAAAACTCCCGAGAGAGACACGTACGCGCTCGCACGCGCGCGAACCCTTGCACACGCACGCACACGCACACGCAGGCATGTACGTGCACGCATGAAACTAAAAAGAGGAAACTTGTTTATTTTACCAAGTAAGGCCCACTGAGCTGCATAGCTCTTTTTCAGAAGCGACCTGGCCACAAATGATAGCCCAACGAAGTGGCTTATCACGTGAAAGTTTATAGCAGCCAAATGCTCTAAACGCGTGTTTTTAAATGTGGAGGGAAAATTGCAGGACCCATAGAATAATCCACGTGACCACAGAGAGAGAGACACACGCAAACTCCAAATATACATCAGCAGGCGTCAGGGTCGGAATTGAACCCACGACCTCCTCCTGCATACCGGGCGAAGAAGTTAACATCTGGCCACCGCGGCACCCAACATGATGCACGCACGTGCAGGATAAAGGTCAGGGTTCGGGTCGTGAGAGGGAGTGATGGACGATGCTGGGGTGTGGAGGAGTGAGCTGCAAGGAACGAGTGGGTACGTGGAACCGGGATTGTGACCTTGGTTCTCAAGAGGTAATTGGGATCACCCACACAAAGACAAGTCGCAACGTCGTCCCCTTCTGCGAAAACGTGGCAGGACCCTCCTGAAAGATAGTCATGCTGCTCAGTGAGGATTCCCTGGGTAAAAAAAGTGTAATTAGTAAAAATTATGAAGGCTCCACAAGGGATTAATGCTTGTGTGTGCGTGTGCGCGTGTGTTCCCGGGGAGCGGTAGTGCAGTGATTAGCGCCCTTGGCTAGGAACCCGGCAACGCGAATTTGAGTCCCACTCACGGCCAACACCAGTGACGATTAACTGAACCGGTCCTGGGCCTCCCCGAGGTCGACTCGGCCTCAAATGAGTACAGTACCTGGTGCGCCACTAAGGAGACAAAGGCGGCTGGGCGTGGTGCTGGCCACCTAGGCGCTGCTCGCGAACAGCCCTTGCCCCAACAGTTCGTTGAGGCTCTGTGGGGGATCTTCGTCTTTGTTCGCACGTCGCCCCCACCCCCCAGGTGGAGCATGACCCCCCCCACGGTGAACGCGTACTACGGGCTGAGCCGCAACGTCATCGTATTCCCCGCGGGCATCCTGCAGCCCCCCTTCTACAGCAGCGACTTCCCCAAGTGAGGAGTGCATCATCTGTACGACTCGGTAGCGTGCGCGCGTACTTGTAAAGAGTACAACGTACGTGCCGGTGTGCACTCGCTATACGTTTTGTAGTTGTCCGCGTGCGTGTTTTGTTTTGTAGTTAACCGTGTGTTGGTGTGTGTGTGTGTATCTGTGTGTGCGTTCTCGTGTCCCCTGTTCCGGTGCAGAGCGCTGAACTTCGGTGGGATCGGAATGGTGATGGGACACGAGCTGACGCACGCGTTCGACGATCAGGGTAGGGCCGCGCTCGTGCCGCGACACCCTGCCAGGCCCAGCCACGCGCCTCGCACGCCCCCCGGCCGTAGCGCAGCAGCCCCCACACCCAGGCTCGGTTCACCTAAACCTGGATTGGCGGCCCAGTCTAACGCACACGCAGCCTCGCCTAACCTCGCGTGACTTAAGACAGCCTTAGCTGATGGCCGGCCAAAAGCCGCTGCGAGGATGACCGGAGTTGGCTTGACGGTTTATGCTCCTTGACGAGCTCAGCGAAGGTGTTGTGGAGAGACAGGGACAGACGTCTCCGCCGCGTGTCCCGCCCGCCCCGCCCCGCCCCGCAGGCCGTGAGTACGACGCGGAGGGGAACCTGCGTTCGTGGTGGGGGAACGAGAGCCTCACGGCGTTCCACAGCCACACGGCGTGCATGGAGCGCCAGTACAGCTCCTTCACCGTGGCCGGGGAGCACGTGGACGGCCGCCGCACGCTGGGGGAGAACATCGCCGACAACGGCGGCCTCAAGTCGGCCTACCACGTGCGTGGGCCTTGTGCGTGGGCCTTGTGCGTGGGCCTTGTGCGTGGGCCTTGTGCATGGGCCTCGCGCGTGGGCCGAGCGCAGCGGCGGTTAGAACGATGTGGAGGGGACGACGGGCGGTGGACGAGCGCGCCCCGTGCGATTAACGAATCGGGGGGAATCTGCCACAGTGGCGAGATGTTAACTAGCTCGCCTGGTACGCAGGAAGTCGTGGGTTTGATCCCGACCCTGGTGATGCCTGCTGCTATATATTTGGAGAGTTTGCGTGTCTCTTTGTCTCCCCGTGGTCACGTGGTTTTTTTCGTGTATATATGTGTGTAGATTTCTGTATGGGGAACTGTAGTGTAGGAGTTAGCGCGCGCTGCACTACGAACCTGGCGATCCAAGTTGATTCCCGCTCACGGCTTCTCCTAGGTCGACTCAGCCTCAAATGAGTACCTAGTGTGGTGTATAAGCACCGTGGTGCTGGCTACCCACCCCCTCGTGTGCCGTTCCGACCTTCATAGGGTGCTCCTCGCGAACAACACTTTTCTGTCTCTGTGTGTGCGCGTGAGCCAGGCTTACGAGAGCTGGGTGAGTTCGCACGGGGAGGAGGATTTGCTGCCCGGCGTGGGACTCACCAACTCGCAGCTCTTCTTCGTGGGATTCGCGCAGGTGACACGAGGCTGCCCGGCGCGCGTGTCCCCAGCGGGGCGACGGTGCCGGGGATGCGTTTGACGTGCGCCCGGGAACGGTGTCATGAGGCCGCCAGGCATCGCGGACCGCGGCGCTGTCGGAGTGGTCGTCGTGGGCTTTTCGTGACAAATATTATCCACGATAAACTTGAGGTTTTCTTTTTGTTTTGGTGTTCGGTCGCGTAAATGATAGATGCGTCGTTGAACCCACCACCACCTGACACGGCCAATTCGTAAGGTTGGTCACGTAAACAAAAGGTGGCAATGCGTTACTAGTACGGCATACCGGTATGTTGGAGAGTGAACCCACAAGATTTACAATTCGGGGTACGACGTTTCGCCGGTGATCACAACAACCGGCATCATCAGTCGATTAGCCAGAATATTTAAGGCCAAAAACAGGAAGAAATTCTTCACAAGCGGGAGTAAAGGTGATGTCGTCTCCGTGGGCCTATCATGTGCGAAGACCAGAGGGGCGAGGGTTTATGTCATATAAATGACAATGGATCATGTTGATCTGAGAACATGTAGCACCTATTATTGGTTGGGTTATCCACAGTTAAACAACATACAATGGAAAGGTTTACTGTTTAGTTTGTTGTCTCATTTGGCCACGTGCAGGGCACGACAGAAGCTCAACACACACAGACATTGTGTTGATCTGAGAGTATGCAGACTCTTTATGTGGTCCCTATTATTGGCTCCTCACGGTTAATCAACGTGCTTGTTACGCAGCTGGCAATGTTCCTCGTCCCAGGAAGTCGCCATATTCTGTCACGTTGAAATGTTTGACTCCTGCTATTCATTTTTACGCGATACGCCACTCCGATGAGCTGTCATTTGTGGCCGGGTCGCTTCTGGAAAAGAGCTCAATGGGGCCTTACCTGGTAAAATAGTTCTTGGTTATTTTAAAGGTTTTGTCGCCAGGGAAACTCAAAAGAGTCGTTCGATCTCTTTAATTGGTAACACTGACGGTGACCTTCCCTTCCCCCTCCCGACTCTGCACTCGCCTCCCACCCATCACCACCTCCTCCCTCTTCCCTTCCTCCCGCCCTCCCCTGGTGCCATCGCCACCCGCTTGCCGCCGTCGCCCCGCAGATGTGGTGCGCGGTGCGGACGGCGGAGAGCGCTCACGAGGGGCTGCTCGCCGACCCGCACAGCCCATCGCACCTCCGCGTCGCCGGCTCCGTCTCCAACTCGGAGGAGTTTGCGCGCCACTTCTCCTGCGCTCCCGGCACTCCCATGAACCCCGCCGACAGGTGCTCCGTGTGGTGACCACGGGACCTCGACGACCACGATGGTGGCGGCGGCAGCTGCCATGATGACCGCGGTGGTGGTGGTGTTATTGTTCGTGATGGTGGTGTTGTGTGTGTGTGTATGTTTAACTTCTTTTGCACTGTACGTAGCCAACCATGCAAACGGAGGTGCGGGTGAAGGACAACAAACTAAACACACAAAGCAGTTCTCAAGAAATGAGTTTTGTCAGTCTCGATGATTTAAAAATGCGTAGCTCCCTGTGACTTTCTAATATCGAACGGAAGAGCGTCCCAGACGGCTGCAAAAGGGCATCTAAAAGCGCGCGATGGAGTGGCCGTCTTTGTTCGATGGATAGCCAAACAGAAAGTTGGTACATGATCATGGCATCTTTGTCTCAATGTCATCGCCGCCGCCGCCAGCAACAGCTGCCCCAATCACCTACAGCGGCGGCAGCGGCACTGTTATCACCTCTGTAAACCGACCGCGGTAAACTTCAAGGATTGCCAAACCCACCGTCACCAACAGTGAATTACTCTACCGGTGTCATGCACAAGCGTCATTGTTAACATGCTACAGCAACCTGCACCACGACTTCCACTGGGATTCACTTTCACTGCCACCGTCAAATTAACAAAAGCGACTGGATCACAACCTGCAGCAGCAGCAGCAGCACCACGGGGAACTCCCTCCACCAACCTCGCCATCAACGCCACCAAAATAGGCCATCGCCGCCCCCAACAACCCTTCACTATCGACAGCATTGTCCTCATCGTCATCATCATCATCAAATGCACCATCACAACAATAGACCACGTGCGTCGGCACCACAAAGACCATGACGTTAAATGATTTCCTTAAGCGCGACCACGAACCCTTGTGCCTTGATGAGTCTGGCTTAGCAGAATGACACGTTTTGTCGTACGTTTGTATATTGCGCCTATATTAAAATCGAATTGGAGGTAAATTCAGAAAGTTTACCAAGGGAGCACTGGGTTATTAAACGACAATGATTTGCGGTGAAGTCGACTTGGTGTTACGCGGAGGGTTGGGAAATCGGTGAGTACCGCTACCGGGCACCACGGTGGCGAGATGTTAAATACCTCGCCTGGTATACAGGAGGTCGTGGGTTCGAGCGGTCTTCTTCTTTTGCGTGTCAAGGGCCCGCGGCGGGCGGGGTCGTGTGAAAGGGGACTGCATTTCCCACGACTGTCCCATGCGCAGGGAAGATTTTTTGGGGGGGCGGGGGTGATATTCCACAGGGTAAGCGAATGGGGGGGGGAGGGGGGCTCTCGGCCATCGTAACTTATTATTGTTGTTGTTGTTGTTCAGTAAAGCCAGCGTGTGCAACCTACGTCCGCTGCCGGGCACGCCTCCTGCACGTTCACGCTTGCCAGTGGTGTCCCGAGCGCAGGGCTTTGAATTCTCGCCGGTTCGACTCGGGAGTCGGGCGGCGGGGCGTGGCTCACAGGCCACGAGAGGGGAGATGGACGCACTTGCTGGATGCGGTGTTGCGCGTGCGGAGATATCTCTCGGGTAGACTGGAGCAGGTGGTGGCACACGAGCCTCTTGGCCGCAAGTTGAGATGCGGTGTGCCGGATTTTTGAAAAATGTTTTCTGGGTCATTGACCCGGACAGACGCCGGTGAATTTCAGCCCTGCCTGAGCAATGCAGTAGTGTGGGGCGCACGACTTGAAAAGCAGTCCGCCTTCGATTACTATTGATGAACTTAATGTAATCCTGATTTTTGTTCCATTACAAGTAATGTAATCTGGCTTGACCTAAGAAAATCCAGCGCTGTGCTACAGCTCTCGCCATGTGGCAGTGACTAAATCTGTGGGCAATGAGACCAGACCAGGGAGCCACGGTGGCTATGAGATGTTAACTACCTCGCCTGGTGTACAGGAGGTCGTGGGTTACATCCCGACCCTGACGCCTGCTGTATGTTTGGAGTTTTGGTGTTCTCCCCGTGGTCGCCTGGATTTGTCTCCAGGTCCTCCGGTTTTTCCCTCCACATTTAGAATCAACGTGCGTTCCGAGTATTTGGCTGCTATAAATTTGCACGTGATAAGCCACTTCTCGTTGGGCTATCATCTGTGGTCAGGTCGCTTCTGAAAAGGAGCTACATAGCTCAGTGAGGCCTTACCTGATAAAATAAATAAATAAAAGTTTAGCAATAGTTTAGACATCTTTTCACTTGTCAGCGCCACCTGAGATGACATCGCGTTCCTCGTTCTCATTTCTTCACGGGGCCAACAGCGGTGAAGTCTGTGATACCCATTTCAAGTGAGTGGGGTTCACCTTCATAATTCACCCGCACCAGCCATGTTAATGAATCGCTACGAATAATTGTGATATGCCACCTGGGCCCGATTCCAGTTGCTGCCCTGGTCTACATGGGCTCCTGTGTGCACTTTGACTGCATTAGCCCCGAGCTGCGGGCTCCATCGTTCCTATCATTGGTGTTTGTGAATCAAAGGCGATGCTAAAGTTAAAGGACAGCAGTAGAACCCCTCTTAACGACGGTAATTGCTTCCACCAAACCGGTCATTAAGTGTTTTAGTCGTTAAGCGAGTAGAGGAATTTCACGTTAAAGACTTAATTAGTTCCGATAGTATCGAAAGTTACCCCTTTTCACCAAAAAAAACGTGCTTTATGTTTAAACAATTTATATTAATACACAAAGATACTAACATACACGCATAATAATAAAATAAATATGGTTTAGTCAATGCATTAATTTATATTTACTGTACCTACAACAGCCCGTCATGAACGGGGCAATGGTCGGTAAGCGAACACATTGGGCTCTATGGAGACGCTACTATACACTATACACTACACTTATACACTACAATACTATACACTACAATACTATACACTACTATACACTACACTATTATACACCACAATACTATACACTACAATACTATACACCACTATACACTACAATACTATACACTACACTATACACTACACATTGGGCTCTATGGAGATGCTACTATACACGACACTTATACACTACAACACTATACACTACAATACTATACACTACAACACTATACACTACACTATACACTACAACTCTATACACTACACTACTATACACCAGAGGTGGGACAAAGTCATTGTTATGCAAGTCCAAGTCGAGTCTCAAGTCATCAAATTCATGACTCGAGTCTGACTCGAGTCCAAGTCACATGACTCGAGTCCACACCTCTGCTATACACTACACATTGGGCTCTATGGAAGTCCGTCGTTAAGCGACGAGTCGCTAGGAGGGGCTCTACTCGACACGGGTGAGTCGTTAAGAGGGGCTCTACACGATGAGTCGCTAGGAGGGGCTCTACACGATGAGTCGCTAGGAGGGGCTCTACTCGACACGGCTGCGTTGCCGGCAATCGCCTTTGGTCATCCGATGTGGGCGCCGCGTGAGGCTGTCGTGCGCGTCGCCTCCCCAACTCCGACTCCGCGCCGATGCAAAACGCCACTCGGTGTCTTCAAGCGTTCCTGCCTTGGTGTGCGCGCACACACATTGCTGTATGTCGGGCGGGGCGGGGAGACTTGTGAACGCGTTTATTATGGTTGACGTTTACATAAAGGCGTGCAACGTGTATACAACGTGTATGCAGCGATGTTACTGCGTGTGTTCATTCGGCTCTCGCGTGGGTCCCGGGTGGCACGAGTCTCACGTCCCCCACGCGCGTTGACAGGAACCGACCTGCCACACGACTGGTGACGAGTCGTCGTTCCTTTGCGCTCGCGCGCTCGCCATGTGCGCGCGTGTCCCGCGTGTGTTTGCAAAGTCATCTCGGCGTCATCGAAATCGCCATCGGCCGTGATCGATCAACTCAGAGCCGGCCCAGCCACTAAGCGACCCTTGCAATTGCAAAGGGCCCCGTGGCCAGCAGAGGGCCCCCTAGAGTCACTGCTAGCTAGTGCGTGAAAAAAAATCATACATAAAAGGGGTCTCCAACCAAATTTTGCTTAGGGCCCCCAAAGGTCTAGGGCCAGTTCTGGATCAACTGCTGGATGTAGACCTCCGACCAACCCCAGGGGTCTCGCCGTCTCTCACAGTATCGCAATCTTGCGACGCAGCAATCCGCCCATGGCGAAGTCGTGTTTGCTCTCGGCGGTGTTCCGTGGCTTCCCCTGTATCGCTTTTCTTCGCCATCGGTCATGAACCCTTCCAAGCGAACACGTCCAGCACAAGCGGCCCACTGGCTCGCAATTAACCCTCTCCCATCCAGAGACGGTCTGCAAGTTGCAGGCTGGGTGTCCCCGTTCGCCGCTGAGTTTCGGAACTCGCAAGCGGCTCAACGTTCATTTTAGTGATAGAGACGTAGCAGCGCCCGTTGGTGTTAAAGACATCGTTACTCACCGCAGAGAACTGTGGCGACACGACCACCGCACTCTGCGATAGCTGGCGCCAACCTGTGCCACATGCCCTTGTGGGAGCCTCGGTGCGGATAGTTATTTTATTTTCGCTTTTCTTCCAGTTTCGTTTTGATGATGTGCACGTACGTCATCGGAACGGGAATTGGTTAGGTTTGAAATTATGTCTTTAAACCAGAGCTTGTTCTCCAATCCACGGTTACCACTCCATCTCCTGTTGGATTGAGAATATGTCCCTCCATGTCCGATTGCCGCTTGACGGCAAATAGTCTTGCGCTTTCAACAGGCTACCAGGGGCTGCATTGTCTACAGCGGACGGTGCACAAACCTCCATTGTTGTCGCTCCTCGTCTTCGCCAACCAGCACCGGCCAGCGTGGTGAAGTATGGTCGAATACACCCGACGTATTCCTACAGGGTGTGGGGGAGGCTCCTCTAATCCAGCAGTGGATCGACCGTGTGCATTGACATTAAAAGCAAATCTCGCGTCCAGCCCCGAGCGTGTTACGAATCCGTGTAGCTACGAGCCAACAACATCAAGCGGCAGTGACATCACCACGGTGATTGTGCCAGACACGGTGCACGTTGAGGCTGCAACCACGTTCACCCATACCCCACGATTGCATCTAAAATATGTAAACAATGCGGTGAATGTAGCGGCCTGTAGCGTCTGCAGGTACCGTTACAAATAACTTGGAAACAAATATCGATGGAAAACACGTATGTGCAGTGACTGATCGTGTGTTAGAGGGCACCACGGTGGCTCGGAGATGTTAACTACCTCGCCTGGTATACAGGAGGTCGTGGGTTCGATCCAGGCGTCAGGGTCGGCTGTATATTTGGAGTTTGCGGTGTCTCTCTCCCCTTGGTCGCGTGGATTTGTCTTTAGGTCCTTCGGTTCTTTCCCTCCATATTTATAATCAACATCACGCGTTTAGAATATTTGGCTGCCTGAGATGTCACATGATAAGCCACTTCGTTGAGCTGTCACGTGTGGTCAGTTCGCTTCTGACGAGAGCTATGAAGCTCCATGGGCCTTACCTCGTAAAATAAAATAAAAGGTTTATTCGTTTAGTAGCTGAAGGAGGCTTCATGTCACTTGTGCAATGTGTTTTTTAAAGGGGTCGTGGCTTGAAAAAGGTTTTAAGCCGTCCCTCGGCCGGTCTGGCCACTGGCTTGTATGTAGATGTCATATTACTGCAATGCATATGGTGGTGTAGTGGGTACATAACTGTAGGAGAGTGTCTTTGCGGCAACGCGGTGTATGAACAGTAACTGCGTAACACACAAAGCGGTGACGGCCCCTTACACCCGATACGCTGAGGTAGCCCCTCCGGACAATTACGCCTCCCGCTGACTAATATCCACCTTCGTGAGTGCGGCTTGAGTCTTCACTGCTATCAGCTGGAGCCGACCCTCGCCACGGGTTCGGCTCTGTCCCTTGGGCTCTTCTCTCCAGGAGTCTCTTCAGTCTTCAGGCGAACGACGACTGCCGGGACCGTGCAGAGGTCCGGCTTTTATACAGAGCCGTGGCTCGCTCCGCCCCCCCGGCCACGCCTTTCTTCTCGAACCTTCCAGCAAGACCTGGGGGTGACGTCATCTCCCAGCCCCCTCCTGGGGTCTGCATGCTGCTCCATACGGGTTACCGTTGGGCTTGTCGGCCATAGTCCCTTAACACTGGGGCTCAGCCCCCCTCTTCTGCCCCCTATTGGCATGTGGTCGGTACTACTGGCTAACTGCATGGAGATGGCGCATCTTCGTCCAATACCTTCACAATATGAGCGTAGCGTGGGATGTGTTGTGAGAGAGAGAACTCTTGTTTTGTCTCCCAACTCACAACTCGCTCTGTGCTCATGTTCAATGCAAACGTTAACACCGTTTTGATGCTCAAGTTCACACAACATAGGTTCGAGCCCCAGTTAAGCCACGAGTGAGTTGATGTCCCCAGTCGCATCTGAGTTTCAACAAACAGAAACTCCGGCACAGCCACCCACGACTCGGGTAGCCGAGTGGGTAGTGCCGAGGCGTCTGAGTTTGTGAAGATAGGTTCAAACCAAACCTTTTTTTAAATAATAAGTATGTTCACAGTTTCAATTCAAATGTGTAATATTTTACATTCACAGGCTTCGCACTCCGTCCCACAACCCCCCTTCTCCCCCGTCAACCCACGCCATCATCACTCCCCTCGCTACCTGTGAGTGAAATCAATCGAGCCCATTGTGGGTATGAATCTGTAGAACCGCCGAGGGGAAGGATTCTCACCGTTAATCAAAGTCGTCGGTGATGATTGATGCTGCTGCTGCTGCTACTACTGCGTTGGCAGTGGTGCACAAATGACAAAAAAAAACATTTAATAAATTCGTAACTTGCACTGTGGCTTTAAAAGGTCAAAAATATATATATACGAGGCGACGGTTCTGGCAGTTCATAGCACAAATAGAGAACCCAGAGATGACGTGGATATTAATCATTAGAGACGTTAATCATGGGGTTTTATTAGAATTAAACACATTCCTGCGGAGGGAGCTGGTAGGAAGGTTGGGTTGCTCGGTCAATGGCCAGGGTCAACGGCGGCGTGGTGTATTCCGCAAATATGCCCGACTGTGAGGGCGGGCACAAGCCGGCGTGAGTATGTTAAACGTTGAGTTTTATAAGGGCACCACGGCGTGACCAGCCCCTCCCCACCCAGCCCCACCCCACCCAGCCCCACCTCACCCAGCCCCTCCCCACCCTCCCCACCCAGCCCCTCCCTGCACGACGGACCAAATAATCTCCTGTGGGCTGGTGTAACCAGGAGGTTCCTACCAGTATAATATTAATACTATTAATTCTGATGACCAGTTATGCTATTAAGTAACAGACACGTTTCATTTTCAAAACTAACGACTAAATGAGCTCATTAAACGTACAATTATAAAATATTGTCCACAATGCATTGTGGGAAGATTTGTTCTTTGTGAGGTCACGGTGCAATCCACCCAGCAATGATTTCCTTGACCCAGTCACCACCGGTGCTCAATGAAAGGCTTTTACCCCTGCCCTGCCGAGGCGGAGACATTCTGAGATTATAAAACGTGAGGTACAACACACATGAAACTAGAATAGAATGACGCTAAAATAGGACACTAAATTCCTCTGTTATGTAAACTTCTTTGTCAAGGCTCTCTGCTCCTCCCACCCAGCTTAAAATACGCTGCCAAGCTTAGCAGTGTTCATTAGGACAGCTCTGTTCTTCATCTGAGGACGGCTGCTTGCGTTGTGGCCGAAACGTCGTGATAATTGTATTGTTAGATTTGTATTATTTTATTATTTCCCTTCTACGTGACTTTACCGAAAGAACCAAGAATAAAAATGATGCCATAAGGCATAAGGTTGGTCTGCAAATGATCATGAGGTTTGTTTGCAGATGGGCATACGGTTGGGTCTGTAGGTGGGCATAAGGTTGGTCTGTAGGTGAGCATGAGGTTGGGTCTGTAGGTGGGCATGAGGTTGGGTCTGTAGGTGGGCATAAGGTTGGTCTGTAGGTGGGCATGAGGTTGGGTCTGTAGGTGGGCATGAGGTTGGGTCTGTAGGTGGGCATGAGGTGGGTCTGTAGGTGGGCATGAGGTTGGTCTGTAGGTGGGAATGAGGTGGGTCTGTAGGTGGGCATGAGGTGGGTCTGTAGGTGGGCATGAGGTGGGTCTGTAGGTGGGCATGAGGTGGGTCTGTAGGTGGGCATGAGGTTGGGTCTGTAGGTGGGCATGAGGTGGGTCTGTAGGTGGGCATGAGGTTGGTCTGTAGGTGGGAATGAGGTGGGTCTGTAGGTGGGCATGAGGTGGGTCTGTAGGTGGGCATGAGGTTGGGTCTGTAGGTGGGCATGAGGTGGGTCTGTAGGTGGGCATGAGGTTGGTCTGTAGGTGGGCATGAGGTGGGTCTGTAGGTGGGCATGAGGTTGGGTCTGTAGGTGGGCATGAGGTTGGGTCTGTAGGTGGGCATGAGGTTGGGTCTGTAGGTGGGCATGAGGTTGGGTCTGTAGGTGGGCATTAGGGTTTGTCTGACACAGAAATACCGCTGCTGTGTATTGAAGGTGAAGAGTCGGGTCAGTCCAGGCAGCTGAACGTTTTTTTCGGGAATCGATTGTCGCTGCTTCACCGCGACTTCACTCAAAGCCACCGTGAAACCTTCCAAGCACTGCACATATAGAAGGGCGCCACAAGAGCTGTCAATGTGCTTTGATATTTTCCTCGCCACAC